GTTGGGGACAGGTCCAGGAGTGGGTGACATCTCCAGGTGTTGGGGACAGGTCCGGGTGTTGGGGGAAGTGACAACACTGAGGATGGCTCCAGGTGTTGGGGACATTGTAGCTGACAGCTCTGGGTGTTGGGGACCCTCTGGGTGTTGTTGGTGACAGCTCCAGGTGTTGGTGACGGTGTTGGGGACAGGTCCGGGTGTTGGTGACACCTCTGGGTATCAGTGACGGTGTTGGGGACGTTGTTGTTGACAGCTCCAGGTGTCAGTGACAGTGTTGGGGACAGGTCCGGGTGTTGGTGACGGTGTTGGGACATTGTAGGTGACAGCTCTGGGTGTCGGTGACAGTGTTGGGGACAGGTCCGGGTGTTGGTGACGGTGTTGGGACATTGTAGGTGACAGCTCTGGGTGTCGGTGACGGTGTTGGTGACAGCTCCAGGTATCAGTGACGGTGTTGGGGACGTTGTAGGTGACAGGTCCGGGTGTCGGTGACACCTCCGGGTGTTGTTGGGGTGTCTCAGAGCGTGGCGCAGGGCTGCTGCCGACTGTAGTGCTCGAACTGAGTCCTCCAGCGGCCCATGTAGGAACTCCAGCGGTGGAATTCCAGCCGCCATTCGCGTTCCGCGTCTTCCGGAGGACCTGAAGCCCAGGGACCCCAAAAACGGGGGGGTGGGGAGGGGGGGGAAACCCTAAATAAGGACCTTCTGAGCCTATAAATCACCCCCAACCCACAAGGGCCCTATAAGCACCGCCTGAGCCCATCGGGACACTATAAAAGCCCCCTGACCCCATAAAGACCTACCAACCCAATAAGGACCCCAGAAGGACCCTATAAGCCCCCTTGCATCCACAAGGACCCTATAAAAGACCCTTGATCCCATAAGGACCCCATAAAGACCCCATAAAGACCCCATAAAGCCCCCCTACCGGTGGTGTTGAGCAGCTTGGGTAGGAATCGGGTCCGGAAGGCGCAGATCTGTGACCCCACATCCCTACATCCCCTGACCCCATAAGGACCTCCTGACCCCATAAGGACCCCATAGGACCCCCTGACCCTATAAAGACCCCATAAAGACCCCATAAAGACCCTATAAAGACCCCATAAGCCCCCCCTACCGGTGGCGTTGAGCAGCTTGGGCAGGAATTGGGTCCAGAAAGCACAGATCTGTGACCCCACATCCCTACGACCCCATAAGGACCTCCTGACCCTATTAGGACCCCCTGACCCTATAAGGACCCCATAAAGACCCCATAAAGACCCTATAAGTCCCCCCTACCGGTGGCGTTGAGCAGCTTGGGCAGGAATCGGGTCCAGAAGGCAGAGATCTGTGACCCCACATCCCAACACCCCCCTGACCCCATAAGGACCTCCTGACCCTATAAAGACCCCATAAAGACCCCATAAGCCCCCCCTACCGGTGGCGTTGAGCAGCTTGGGCAGGAATCGGGTCCAGAAGGCGCAGATTTGGGTTCTCAATCCCTGCCCTACAGCCAGGGGCCGGGCGTTGAGGTGGGCGTAGCGCTGACCCGACGGCGTGTAGGGAGGCCAGACGGGACCCCCGACCCCCCCGTTAGGGTCACTGTGGGGTCAAAGGTCAGATAGGGGTCAGGGAGGGGTCACAGGTCAGCTTGGGGTCAGTGGGGGGTCAGTGGGGGCATTGGGATCAATGGGGTCAATGGGGAACTATGGGGTCATTGGCAGGCAGATGGGATCCCCGACCCCCCCGTTAGGGTCTCTGTGGGGTCAAAGGTCAGATAGGGGTCAGGGAGGGGTCACAGGTCAGCTGGGGGTCAGTGGGGGCATTGGGGTCAATGGGGAACTATGGGGTCAATGGCAGCAAGACGGGACTCCCGACCCCCCCCTTTAGGGTCACTGTGAGGTCAAGAGTCAGATAAGGGTCAGGGATGGGTCAGAGGTCATCTGCGGGTCATCTGGGGTCATCTGGGGTCAATGGGGGCATTGGGGTCAATGGGGAGCCATGGGGTCATTCGCAGGCAGATGGGACCCACGACCCCCCCATTAGGGTCACTGTGGGGTCAAAGGTCAGATAGGGGTCAGGGAGGGGTCAGAGGTCAGCTGGGGGTCAGTGAGGGGTTACTGGGGGTCAGGGGGAGCCATAGGGTCAATGGGGGTCAATGGGATCCGTGTGAGCCACAAACCCCGCCACTGGGGTCACTGTGGGGTCAGGGGTCAGCTAGGGGTCAGGGTGGGGTCAGAGGTCAGCTAGGGGTCGGTGAGGGGTCAGTGGGGGCATTGGGATCAATGGGGTCAATGGGGAACTACGGGGTCAATGGCAGCAAGACAGG